CATCATCATCACCACCACCATCATCACCATCACCACCACCATCATCACCACCACCATCATCACCACCACCATCATCACCACCACCATCACCACCACCATCACCATCATCACCACCACCACCATCACCATCACCACCACCACCATCATCACCACCACCATCACCACCACCACCATCACCACCACCATCACCATCATCACCACCATCATCACCACCACCATCATCACCATCACCACCATCACCACCACCATCATCACCATCACCACCACCACCACCACCATCACCACCACCATCATCACCACCATCATCACCATCACCACCACCATCACCACCATCACCACCATCAACATCGCCACCACCACCATCATCATCATTTTGGAGGGAGACAGGCAGACAGGGAGGATGTGCCAGTGTGCACGTGAAGGTCTCCGGTTTGGCCCATCCTCCTGCCCTGGGTTCTAGGAATGGGCCTCAGGTTGCCGGCAGCTTTCACCTGCTGAGCCGTCTCACCGGCTCCCACCCCACAGTCCTTGGCTCATCTTCCCTGGGCTGTCTTCTACCGCTCAAATACCAAGAGCTAACACATGAGAGATGTAAAGCCAGGTACTGAGAGTCCCTCTGTAGTCCCCGGATGCAGGGAGCTGAGGGCTGGCGGCCTAGGGCCACATAGTGAGACCCTGTCTGTACAGCAGACAGACAGCTTAAGCGCTCACCTAAGTCATCGAACCTAGAGTTTTCAGGTCCACAGAGCTTCAGAGTTGAGGGTCTCAGGTAAACCAAACTAACTTTTGTGGCTAAAGATGATGTTGAACTCCAGGTCCCTCGGCCTCCCGCTCGCCCCAGTGCCTGGACCACAAGTATGCGCGCTGCACCCGGTCTGTGGGGTGCTGGGGGTGTCTGCTAGCCAGGCAAGCACCCTGTCAACTGCCTCACACCCCGACCCTGACCCCTGATGACCCACGCCCTGCCGCGTGGCCACGCAGGCCCCCACGTCTGTCCTTAGATACACTGTGACAGCCCACCCACACCCATATTCTCAGCCAGCACTCGGGGGAGGCGGGCAGGCGGCCAAACTTCTGTTACAAACAGGTCTTTATTAAAGATGAGGAGGAGGGCAGGGAAGGGGGACAGTGTCTCGTCTGCCCACTGCCTTTGGCTGCTCAGGGTAGGGTAACCCCCTTCTGCTCTACCCGTGCCCCCCAAGATGGCACAACTGCAGTGAGGCTGAGGCATAGGGGGCAGTGTGAAGAAGGAGGACAGGGCCCAAAAAAATAAAGTCTTTTTTTTTTCCACAGCCCTAATAAATAATAGAAGGTTTGGGGGTGCCCTGGGCACAGCCAAGGGGGGCAGCACCCGGAGCTCCGAAACCGGTGAACTGGGGCCAGCCCTACTTAAGTAGGGAGTCGGAGGGTGTGAGGTGGTGCACCTGGGGGGAGGGGGAGGGGTGCTGCAGGACGCTGCTATGGGGGAGCCTGCCCCCCACCCTCCAGCTGGACTCCGGGATCCTGGGGAGAGTCTGGATGCTAGCCCTCCTTGGCTTGTCACGGGCGGTCCCCCATTGACTGGAATCATTCCCACCCTCCATCGGCATTTCCGAAAGCCAAGGGCTCCTTTTGGCTGAACACTGGCCAGAGCTGCCTCATCTTGCTTGAGGAGGCTAAGAAGTAAGAGGCTCCCATACATTTTTGTAAACTTTTGGGTTGAATTCTGAGTCGGAGCTCTCGCTGGCTAGGCCACGGCCGGTTGGGCCAAGCATCAGCCGCTGTAAAGGGTAATCCTAGGGACAAGGGACCACCTGGTTATGTTTGCCGACCCGGACGTCCCAGAAGGCCAAAGAGCAGCCAAGAGATTTCCCCCCTCGAAGTGTCCTTCCAGCCATCTTTTGACAGCGGGCCTGGCTGGTTTGGAGGGCAGGGGCCGTTAGCACTCACGTGGCACACGCACGCGTGGCTGGGAGGGTGAGGGGGGCACTGGGTAGGTCGGAGGTGGTGGGTCTCACAGCAGGTGGTCGCGGCTGGCAAACAGGTAGGGGCTGAAGTTGTCGCGGTGGAAGGGGGAGGGGTGGAGTCCGCTGAGGGTGTACAGGTCCCGCAGCAGGGGCGTGGGCAGCAGCAGCTTCCGGCCGCGCCCACCTCCCCCGCCCGGGCCCCCGGGGCCGGGGGAGGAAGGCGAGGGACCCTGGCTGGGAGTCGGTGCGGGCAGGGGCAGCGGCAGAGGCAGGGGTGTTGGCTCAGACCTCAGTCGAGGGCGGGGCACACGGGGCGAGGAGCACATCGCTGGGGCCCGGGAGGACACGCAGCTGGGGATCAGGTGGCCACGGCGGGCACAGTTCTGCGGCTCTGGGGAGGACGGTCAGGGATCGAGAGGTTAGTAAAGCCGGGAGGGTGGCACAGGAGCCCAGGTGGGTCCTCCGCCCACCTCCCCGGCCTCCCCCAGCGCTTACTGGATGGGGTGAGCCGCGCCGGTGTCGAATGCGGCCTGCAGGTCTCGGGTTCCTGAGACAAACAGTAAGAGGGGAGGGGCTAGAGGATCCCGGGACCCCACAACTCACGGATGACAGATGGCCCCCATGGAAAAACGCAACAGGGGTCTCCGGATTAACGACGTAACTTTGGGAGGGGGAGGGCCGTGTCGCCTTCCCTTCACTGAGGCTGTTTTCTTCCCAGGACTTCACCCCCTGGGCTGGGTGGCTACCCCCTCTCCGCTCATCTACCTTCACGGCCCCCTCCACCCGCCACCCTCTCCAGCCCGGAGTAGCTCCTGGGCCCCCTTACCTGGGCCACACTTAACTTTTCGAGGGGGCTGTCCATGGCGGGGGCCTGGCTCAGGTCCTCCCAAGGGGAGAGCCTTCGACCAGAGGGGGGTCGGCTCTGGAAGTTGTGCACAACACAGGTGACCTAGGCCAGAGGGGCGGGGGGGGGGGGCGCAGATTGAGGCCCACAGCGCGAGAATTATGAAAACATCCGCCCGGTTTCCAGATAGAAACTGAAGCTCGGATTTACGGACCCAGATAACCTTCCTTTGCTATTTTACTTTTTACGTATCGAGTTAGATACTTTGAGACAAGGTCTCTTTATGGCTGTTCTGGAACTCTTTTTGTTCCCAGCTGACCTTGAATGCAAATCCCAGGTGCTGGGATTAGAGGCGTGCACCACCACTGGCTGCATTTGTTTGACATTTTGGTATAGTGCAACTATTTTTTTTATTTTGGTTTTTCCAGACAGGGTTTCTCTGTGCAGCTTTGGCTGTCCTGGACTCAGTTTGTGGACCAGGCTGGCCTCAAGCTCACAGGGACAAGCCCTGCCTCTGCCTCCCTGAGTGCTGGGATTACAGGCATGTGCCACCACACCCAGCTGATTTTTATTTTCTGTGAGTGTCTTGCATGTATGCTTAGGCCAAGGAGGCCCAGAAGAGGAAATTAGATCCCCTGGAACTGGAGTTAGGGATGGTTGTGAGCCACCACGGAGGTGCTGGGAACTGAATCTAGGTCCTCTGCAAGAGAACCAGTGCTCTTCAATGCTGAGCTATCTCTCCAGCCTCCAATGTAATTCTAAGAGATTTATTTATTTATTTATTATTTATACAGTATTCTGTGTGCAGGCATGCCTACACACACCAGAGGGCACCAGATCTCACTATACATGGTTGTGAGCCACCATGTGGTTGCTGGGAATCAAACTCAGGACCTCTGGAAGAGCAGCCAGTGTTCTTAACCTCTGAGCCATCTCTCCAGCCCCTGGAGATTGCTTTTACCAGCTGAGCTTTCTCGCCAGCCTTTCCCCAGATGTTTTAGGAGGGGCTGAGTTATGGCTTGCTGCATAGAACGCTTGCCCAGCATTCCCGAAGCCCTGGGCTCCATCCCCATCCCCACCAGTAGAGGGCGTTGGTGAGGCAGGTCTGTGATCCCAGCACTAGGGAGGTGAGGCAGGAGAATCAGAGGAACAAAGTTGTGCTTTGCTGGAACTACAAGAGAGCCTGTCTCAAAAAAAGTCTTAAAAACCAAAACCAGTCTTGCCGGGAGTGGCAGTGCACAGCTTTAGTCCCCGAACTTGGGAGGCAGAAGTTGACAGATCTCTGTGAGTTCAAGGCTAACTGGTTTACACATCTCATTCCAAGGCAGTCAGGGCTGCCCAGTGAGGGCAGTGCCGCCATGACTGGCCAAAACTACTTTAAAAAACATATTTAGAGGTCTGGGAAGGTGGCTCAGGGGTTAAGAGCACTGGCTGCTCTTGCAGAGGCCTGGGGTTCTGTTTCTAGCACCCACATGGTGGCTCACAGCCATCTGCAACTCCAGTCCCAGCACACTCGCCTCTTCAGGCACAACACACACACACACACACACACACACACACACACACACTTTAATGCATG